TTCGGCACAGAAGTATTTCTTAAAGGGCCTTGCCACTTGCAAACACCCCTACAAGAAATATTAAGATGGATTGTCTTCTGTCAACGTCCAGAGTTTTTCATAAAACCATGTAATTTAGAAGAGGGCAGGTTGGGATCTTCCTTCACAATTTGCTTGTTTTCACACTTGAAGAGAAATTTGGTGTGAAATTATTTGACTTGAAGTTTGCAAGGTATTACTGAATCTGACGCATCCACTCCCACCACCGATGCTCAGCAGCAGCAGTGTGTACTATCTACAAGATGCACTGCAGAAATTCACTAAAGATCCACATACAGCATCTTCCAAACCCACGACCACTTCCATCTAGAAGGACAAGGGCATCAGACATATGGGAACACCACCACCTCCAAGTTCCCCTCCAAGTCACTCACAATCCTGACTTGGAAATATATCGCCGTTCCTTCACTGTCGCTGGGTCAAAATCCTGGAATTCCCTCTCTAATGGCATTGTGGGTCAACCCACAGCAGGAGGACTGCAGCGGTTCAAGAAGGCAGCTCACCACCACCTTTTCAAGGGGAACTAGGGATGGGCAAGAAATGCTGGTCAGCCAGTGATTCCCACATCCCACAAACAAATAAAAAAAATTGGGATATAATGACAGTTGATCAGCCGGGAGTTGTCCTGTTCATAACTTGGTGCTTGAGATTCATAAACTAATGAATGGATACAGACTGTGCCAGTGGAATGTTTGAACTAAGTAGATTAGAGGGAATGAGGGCACTTGGGTATCCAATTCTAAAGTAGATTGGACATCAGGAGGTTTTTCTTTCACAAAGGGTTACTGATTTTAGGAACAAATTCATGTCATTCACAGTGAAGGCAGACTTTCTGCCATGTTCAAACAAGAGATGGAATGTCGACTTTCCTGCTCCTCTGATGCTGTGCTCCTCCAGCTCCACATCTTATCGACTTATAATTCTCTCCTGAATAAATCAAAACACTGCAGATGATCTGAAATAAAAACAGAGAATGCTGTAGAAACTCAGCAGGCCCGGCAGCATCTGCAGAGAGAGAAAAACAGAGGTATAAAAACAGAAATTTGCTGGAAACTCAGTTCTGAGGAAGGGTCAGGTATCACTGCACTGCTGGTGGTAAGTGGAAGTTGCAGGTAGCGCACAGATTGGCTTCTGCATAAATGAGATACAGTAACCACAGGTAGGATGAAGTATGAGGAAAGACATAACGGGAGTTTGTGAGGCATAATTACAAGGGATTTTAATCTAGATATAGACTGGAAAGATCAGATAGACAAAGGAGGCCTAGATAAGGAGCTCATAGAGTATTTTCTGAGATAATTTCTTGGAGAGCAAATGAGAGGAGGACACTGTGACAGGCATTTTGAAAGAAAGAGTGAACATTGACCTCACAGGAAGAGCACAGATCAGGGAGGAGAAAAAACACAGAAGGTGGAACCTTACTAGGCTCTGAATGATCTGGGACTATGATATGATGAGCTTTAGAATCAGTGAGATGTTCAGCTCCATATTGGGATCGTCTCACTACAACATCTTCCCGCACTCCCCTTTACTCAAGCAGCAGGGTGAGTCTCTCGACAACTTTTAGGTTCAGGGAAAGAAATGTAGGAGGAATGTGAGAAAGAACTTTGTTTTCTCTTCTGTATGCAGCAAAGAGCAATGATTTGGAACTCACTACCCATCAGGATAATGGCAACAGAGAAATCAAACAAACACACGTACGAACATACGAATTAGGAACAGGAGTAGACCACTCAGTGCCATGACTATTCTCAGCAATTCAATAAAATTATGGCATAACTGATCACTCCACTTGATTCATATGTAACTGCTTGCTTGTCAAGAATCCAGCTACCTCTGCCTTAAAAGTATTCAAGATATCTGCTTCCATTGCCTTTGAGAAAGCGTTCCAACGATTTACGTCTCTCTGGTACAAAATATTTCTCCTCACCTCTATTCTAAATAGGCAACCCTAGGTTGAAATGGTGACTCCTAATTCTAGATTTTCACACAAGAGGAAATATCCTTTCCACATCTAACCTGTCATGACAGCAGATCAGAACCCCAAATACTTATGGCAATATTAAACATTTAATTCCAACATGTAGATAGCAAAAACTGCAGATGCTGGAGTCAGAGACAACACAGCGTGTGGAGCTGGAGGAACACAGCAGGCCGGGCAGCATCAGAGGAGCAGGAGAGTTGTCATTTCGGGTTGGGACCCTTCTTCAGAACTGGGGAGGGGGAAGGTAGTTGGGAAATAAATAGAGGGAGGAGGGGTGGGGCTGGGGGAAGGTATGTGGGATGGCAATAGGTGGAGGCAGGTAGGCAGTGATGGGGTTTTGTCAGTGGGATGGGTGGGGCAGATAAGTGGGAGAGAAGATGGACAGGTTGTGTCAGGTCAAGGAGGCGAGAGAAAGGGTGGGTGGGGCCGGGGAAAGGTAGGTGGATGGTGATAGGTAGATGCAAGTAGATGATAGTGGGGATTGGTTAGTGGGAAGGGTGGAGTGGATAGATGGAGAAGAAGATGGACAGGTTGTGGCAGGTCAAGGATGCGGAGATGAGAGGGAGGGTTGGACATGGGATGAAGCCGGGAGTGGGGAGATTTTAAAACTGGTGAATTCTATGGTCCGGCTATTGGGCTGTAGGTTCCCGAGGCGGAATATGAGGTACTGCTCCTCCAGTTTGCGTGTGGTGTCATTGTGGCACTGGAGGAGGCCCAGGATGGACAAGGGAGTGGGAGGAGGAGTTAAATGGTTGGTGACCGGTGAGACCAAATGCAGACTCAGGGATCGTTTTGTGGAGCATCTGCACTCTGTACACTTCTCCTACTTCCTACAAACTAAGGGGGTGGCTATGGGCACCTGAATGGGTCTGAGCTATGCCTGCCTCTTCATAAGATACGTGGAACAGTCCCTTTTCCACTGTTAGACCGGCACCATCCTTCACCTCTTCCTCCACTACATCGATGACTGTATTGGCACTGCCTTGTGCTCCCACGAGGAGCTTGAACAGTTCATCAGCTTTTCTATAACCTTTCACCCTGCCCTCAAATTCGCCTGTTCCATCTCCGCTACCTCCTTCCCCTTCCTGGACCTCTCCGTCTCCATCTCTGGTGACCACCTCAACACCGACGTCTATTTCAAGCCCACCGACTCCCACAGCTATCTGGACTACACCTCCTCTCACCCACCCTCCTGCAAGAAAGCGATCCCTTACTCCCAATTTCTCCACCTCCGCTGCATCTGCTCCAAAGATGGGACATTCCACTTCCGGACATCCCAGATGTCCTCCTATTTCAAGGACCATAACTTTACCCCTCTGGTGATCAAAAATGCCCTCAACTGCATCCTTTGCATTTCCCGCATCTCTGCCCTCAAACCCCGCACCCCCAACAAAAACAAAGACATAATCCCCCTTGTCCTCACATACCATCCCACCAACCTCCGTATCCAATGTATCATTCTCCGCCAATGCATCAATCCGACCCCAACACCAAAGATGTATTTCCATCCCCACCCCTATCTGCCTTTTGTAGGGACCACTCTCACTGCGACTCGCTCGCCTGCTCCACACTCCCCACTAGCCCCATCACCCCTGGCACATTTCCCTGCAACAGCAGGAAGTGCTACACCTACCCCTACACCTCCCCTCTCACCTCCATTCAAGGCCCAAAGCAAAGTTTCCATATCTGACAGGGGTTCACCTGTACATTCTCCAACCTGGTCGACTGTATCTGTTGCTCCTGATGTGGCTTCCTCTACATCGGTGCGACCAAACTCAGACTCAGGGATTGTTTCCTGGAGCATCTGAGCTCTGTACGCAATAATCAACAGCACCTTCTGGTCACCAAATATTTTATTTGCCCCTCCCAATCCCTGGGTGGCATGTCCATCCTGGGCCTCCTCTAGTGCCACAATGACATCACACGTAAACTGGAGGAGCAAAATTCATATTCCGCCTCAGGACCCTACAGCCTGATGGCCTAAACATAAAATTCACTAGCTTTAAAATCTCCCCACCCCCGGCTTCATCCCACATCCAAACCTCCCTCTCGTCCCCGGCTCCTTGACCTGACACAACCTGTCCATCTTCTCTCCCACCTATCCAGCCCTCCCACCTCACTGACCAATGCCCACCACTCCCTACCTGCACTCACCTATCACCATCCCACCTACCTTTCCCCAGCCCCACCCTCCTCCTTCCATTTATTTCCCAGTTTCCTTCCCCCTCCCCGTTTCTGAAGAAAGGTCCTGACTCAAAACGTCGACTTTCCTGCTCCTCTGATGCTGCCTGGCCTGCTGTGTCTGTCCAGCTCCACACTGTGTTATCTCTAATTCCAACATGTGATTTTCAAAGGAGGACTGCTTGAATCAAAAGATAACTGTGATTGGGAATTCAGTGACTGCCTGGTAGAGTCCAATGGACCCGTTGACTATAACATTGTAGACAGTTAGGTAAACACCAAAGAGAAAGAGTGAAAAATGTAGAGTTAATGAGGAGCCAGTTTTTCGCTCATCTCCTCTCAGCAGAAAGCCATCTCCTGCAGACACATTTGCAAGATTTTATCTTTCCAGGGTGTGACGATGCTGTGGTTTTAAGACGTGTGTTTGTCCTGGTTTCCTTTCGAGAGAGCTTGGGGGATAAGTATTGAGCAGTCAGTGAGAAGATAGAGAACTTTTCTGAGGCCTTGGTTGTTTTTAATTGGAGTAACAGAAACAGCATAGACCAAAATCTGCTGTGGAAATCCAGAAGTTTTTAGCCCAATTTACTTTCACATACTTGCTGTGGGTAGTGGTGTCACACTGTATTTGCACTTAACTGCACTATTAGAGAAGCTGAACTGGTGAAAACTTCCCAAAATTTTATTTGAAAATTTAAAAAATTTATGGGTGGGGAGCAATGCACCGTCTAAGTTGTGTGGGGGTGTGGTCAAGCTCTCACAGATCCAGATTTTTAGACTGTTTACAGCAGTTGCTGTTGGGGTCTTGAAGATGAGGAAGGTATTTTTCCCTCTCTCAATTACAATCCAAAAGCTGGGGGCTTTCTTTCTAGGCTGCAGGGCTGCATGTGAGACAAAATCTGTTTTCTGAATTTGCCTTTTTATCAAAGGTGTGTTTATATGATGTTACTATATTTGAACAGTTAATTAGTAAAAGTTACTGTATCTACTATTTTGTTCAGTTTTCCAATAGAGTTAAGTTATTCTAAGTTCTTCTTTCTTTAGTTGTATTTTAACTATAACGTTTGAATAAATTGTAATTTGCTTAACATTGAATAGTTTGGAACACAGCACCAGACATTTACCTTTAAAATAAGAAAAGGTTAGATAGGCTACCTTCTTAATATATTTTGAACGGGTCTAATCTGCTCCATAACAAGGGATATATATTATATATATGTATTTTTTTTTTGGAAAAGGGTTTAAAACCTAATTGCTGCTGATGGTCTGTGTGTATCAGCAGCATGAATGACTAATGCGTAAACTAGTGTCCTGTGAAGATCATAGTTTGGAATCAGCCATTAAACACCCCCACACAACTTAGAGGGTGCATTGCTCCCCACCCTTAAATTTTTTAAAATTTCAAATAAAATTTTGGGAACAGTTTTCACCAGTTCGGCTACTCTAATAGTGCAGTTAAGTGCAAATACAGTGTGACACCATTACACACAGCAAGTATGTGAAAGTAAATTGGGCTAAAAATTCCTGGATTTCCACAGCAGATGCTGCTGTATGCTGACTTGTCTGTATGACATTAATAGGTGAAATGGCTTTTATGGTGTAAAAATGCAGAAATTCTGAAATTGACTCTGGATGACTGATTTCAGGTGCTGTTTACATTAGCAAGCTAATGTGATACAATTAGTGAGAGTACTTGTGCAGATGGATGATGAGTGAGGAGATATAATGGGGATTAAGTCTATGTGGATATCATATAACATCCCATTCTGGTATTCATCCAAGTGGGATTAAAGTATGGACAAATGGTGGAAACTATTCTCTGATAACAGAATATTTTGAGGAATTATTCACTTTCAATGTCTCCAGTTCTTTCAAATGAGACTAGTTTTCTCTCTCAATTACATGTTGAGGAGCTGCTTTCTGGTGGATTCTCTACTGCACCCTGTAAGGAATCAGGCTGAAATGCCAGAGAGTTGATTGTTTGGAGTCTCTGACCCAAACATCCTACCACCCCACACAAAGTGAGGACAGCCTTGGTTCCACAAATTGAATGTATCAGTGGATGTAGGGAATGGGAGGAGGGATTCCCTACCTGTTCAATGATAGTCCCTTGAGTTTCAATGCATTTGAAGCCAAATTTAATTGAAATTAAATTCGGGAAGGATGTATAACAACTAGTGATTTTTTTTTTCATTCATTCAAGTGATGTGGCCAGACAAGAATTTATTGCCCATCCCTAATTGCCCAAAGGAAAGTTAAGAGTCAGCCACATTGCCATGAGTCTAGAGTCACATGAAGGCCAGATCAGATAAGATGGCAGATTTCTTTCTCTAACAGATATTAGTGAATCATGTGGGTTTTTCAAAACAATCTCTTCATGGTCATCACCAGACTGTTAGTTACAGACTTTTCTTGAATTCAAATTGCACCATCTGCCATGGAAGGATTTGAAACCAGGTCCCCACAACATTAAAATGAAATGAAGAACTGCAGATGCTGGAGAACTCTAAGTCCTGAAGAAGGGCCACTGACGCCAAAATACTAATTCTGCTCCTTCTCCATGGATGCTGCTGGATCTGCTGAGTTTCTCTAGCAACCTCTGTTTTTTTGTTACCCTAGAACACTACCTCACTCCATGGATTAGCGTACGCTGATTATACCACTAAGCTATTGCCTCTGCTCTATGGTATGTGCTTAGTTTTATCAGCTGAGGTCAGAATTATCTACAATTTCTTCATTTCTGCTCTATGTTTCATATGATGCATCACAGTATGGTTTGACAACTGCTCTTCCCAAGACCACAAGAAACTACAGAGTTGTGAACACAGTCCAGTCCAGTCCATCACACAAACCTTCATTTACACTTCCCACTGTATCACAAAAGCAACCAACATAATCAAAAACCACTCCATCCCTGGTTAAACTCTCTTCCATCTTCTTCCGTCAGGCAGAAGATAGAATAGTTCGTATACATGTACGAACAGATTCAAGAACAGCTTCTTCCCCGCTGTTATCAGACTTTTGAATGGACCTCTTTAATGTTGGTGTTGACTTATTTGGCTGCGTAACATGGAACAGGCCATTCGGCCCCTTAACTCAGTTCTGGTGTTAATGTATCCCACAATCGTCCAGCCACCTTTGCATTACCTTAGCCTTTCTTCTTCATATTTATTTATCTTGTTTATCTGCAGTTTATAATTCCCCTTGGGCAATGTATAGTTTCCAGTAGATAGTTAATGCCAAAGTATTTTTTGTCGCTCTCAATGTACGATATTGAATTGCTTTGTATATTATTTAATGTCACTGTGATAATAATCGCCAAAGTGTTTGATTGACTCAACTGTGCTACTTTTACTCATTTTCCAGTTTGCAGAAACCATACTGAGACTGAGTGGTGCAGTTGCACACAATTTTGACAGAGGTCACTCCTTGACTTGCTTGGCACTCAGTCGGCATTTGTTTGGGAAATGGACCCTCCCTCCCCGGTTTCTTTAAATGGGTCTCCAAGGAACCATATTGCTGCAGTTGTACCTGTTCAATTAATTTTAAAATGAAGAAAATTTGCAGGGCCTGTAAATAATTTGTCACAAAACACATGGGTCATGGGCAACATTTCATGATTTATTTGTCACACATGTGTCTATTTCTTTCTCTGTTTTTCACTTGTCCAAAGGAGGCTTATCCTATTAATGGTGGCTATAAAACAAGCATTCAGTTGTTCTCAGAACATGGTGCCCCTCTGCAGGAATTGGTTTTCATTAAGCTGGTCTACAGCAATCTCAGAAAACAAGCAACACTGAATTGGCCATTCTCAAGAAATATTCTTATTCATTGAAGCCAAGTTGAAAGTTTGATATATTTAAATTGTTTGTACCCTTTTTTGCTTTCAAAGATCCCCTTCTGGGTTATAAAAACCCCATGGACCACAATTTCTTTCAAAATAGCCCCTGTCATGTAAAAAAATACCAAGCTGTTTGTACACAGTAAGACCCCATAATGGAAATCAGATGGTTCACCACATTACAAAGCACATGTTCACTTCAAGTTCAGTTTCCTCTATCGGAAAGGCCAACTGCTTACGGTCCACACCTCAAATGATTGATGCTCTTGAGGTTTGAAGCTGGGATTTGGGGCTCCCAGTGGAAATGCACTGTTTGATTAGCTGACTATGCTGTTTTTGGCTCTGTAAATAACTGTCTTGGGTAAACACTGATCAGATGAAGTAAGATTTGACCAAACACCAGTGCACATTGTTAACTCTCAGGCCATGCGCCAGACAAAACTCTACTGACCTCTCGCTCCAGTCATCAGATTTGAAAATGGCAGCTGGATAGCCTGTCAGGAAAAGAACCCACTGTAAAGTGCAGATCTGAAGGAAAGGAGATAGAGTCTCCTTTTTAAAACAATGCACTAGTTTTGAATTTGACGGGCCTTTTTACAGCTTGTCATGGTCTCCTTGGGACTAGCAGGCTCTGGCTAAGAGGCCTTAGTCCTATGAAACCTTCCCAATAAACCTTGCTGAATGAATGAGTCATCAAACAGCTAATTCTGTCAGATAGTCAATCACGTGTTCTGCCACCGTTGTTTTCTGCTGTTCTCATTTTGCTTGCTCCACATTCAGCAGGGCTATATAGAACTGGAGGCAGTGGGTAGTAACAGTTTTTGGAAACCCTAACTAGTCTGTCCTCTCACCTTGCCTCAATCCGTTCAATCTTCAGCATTGATGTTCATTTCTGGTCTCCCTGCTACAGGTAAGAGGTTGTCAAACTTGAAGGGATTCCAAACAGCTGTTGCTGGGATTGAAGGGTATGAGCTGTGAGGAGAGGCTGTATAGGCTGGGCTATTTTCCTTCGAGTGTTGGAGGCTGAGGGGTAGCCTTGTGGACATTTATAAAATCATGAGGGAAAAGGTGAATAGCCAAGGTCTTTTCTCCTGGGTCAGGGAGTCTAAAACTAGAGGGCTAGGTTTAAGGTGAGAGGGGAAAGATTTAAAACAGACCTAAGGGGTAAGTTTTCATGCAGAGGGTGATGTGTGTATGGAATGAGCTGCCAGAGGAAGTGGTGGAGGCTAGTACAATTACAATATTTAAAGGGCATCTAGATGGGTATATAAATTGGAAGGGTTTAAAGGGATATGGGCCAAGTGCTGGCAATAGGACTAGATTAAGTTAGGAAATCTGGTTGGCATGGATGTGTTGGATCAAAGGGTCTGTTTCCACGCTGTATGACTCTATTCTGCTTCAGAATGACAAGGATCTCTACAGCCATGCTAACATCTTGAGAGATATCGTATCTTTCCTCCAATCTTCTCCTTCAGTGGTGCAGTGAGACATGGTTGCAGCATTCATCCATGAGTACCAGCTAAAGCTGGTACTGTTTGACTGCTAAAGAATGAGAAATTTGTTGGAGCTGCTGGCATAACATGCATTCATGTGCATAATTGCTATTGCTCCATGTGTATGAAGTGGTGGCCTTTTCTGGGTGATAAGTGGGATTACATTGGAGGAAGGGACAAAGCAACAGTCAATAACATACAAACATAAAAATGCTGGAGAAACTCAGCTGGCTTTGCAGCATCTGTGGAGATCAAAGCACAGTTAACATCCAGTCCAATACTCTTCATACCTGCTGAGTTTCTTCAGTATTGCATGTTTTTATTTCAGATCTCCAATATTCACTGTAATTTGCTTTTGTTGTCGTAGTTAAAAATATCTGGCTGTCTGAGAAATCATAGCAAAAGAGGAAGATTCTTAACTAACCCTTGACAGTCCCCAAAAGGATATTGATGAAATCACTACCCTGGCAATTGAGTACTGAAATAAAAACTGCTGGAGACACTGAACCGGTCTGGCAACATCTGGGAAGACTGACAACAGAGTTAATATTTCCAGTCTAATATGACTCTTCGTCAAAGGTGAACATTGAAGGAA